TATCCTTGGGTTGACTTCGACAATTGAAGTTGTTGTAAGCAATCTGCATCCGTCTTATTGGCGATGGCATGCATCATTGTTGTGAGTGATGATAGTAACAAAGATGACATTGATACTAGTATTGACTATGTGCATCAATCTTATAGGTTATGACTTACATCAACGATGTGTATCGATCTATTAGGCGATGATGTGTGATAATGATATGCATTAATCTTATAGGTAAAAGCATATTGCATCAGCTTTAGAGGCGATAATGTGTGTCAACATTGTTGGCAATAGTAGGTATTGAAATCTGTTGGCGTTGACATTGGCATTTAAATTTATTGGCTTAATAAGTGATGGTGCGCATGGACATTATTGGCGATGAAGTCAACTGGAGACTAGTAAGGCAATAATAGTCAGTTGACGATAGTCAGATGATACTGATTGGAAAACTGTATTTAAGTGATAATGTCCAGGAATCATAGTTGGGCAACAATATTTTAGAGATAATAATCAAACAACAGTGAGTGACAATGGTTGGGATATCACAATCGAGTTACAACAATCACAATACAACATATGAGCGAAAGTAGTCCCAGATCATAGTCAACGATTGTGGTTAGAGAGATTGTAATTGGCAATAGTCAGACGATAATGGTTGGGAGACTATAGTGGTATGATGTTCTTGGAAGATGATATCCAGATGACAATGGTATGTATATATGTCGACCTCACTTTTGGTTTAGGTTTAGTTTTCCCTCTTTAGTTGCCTGAGGTCTAGCCATAGGACTTTCCAAGCAATCTGCATCCGTCTTTTTGGCGTTGGCATGCATCATTGTTATGAGTGATGATAGTAACAAAGATGACATTGATATTAGTATTGACTATGTGCATCAATCTTATAGGTTATGACTTACATCAACGATGTGTATCGATCTATTAGGCGATGATGTGTGATAATGATATGCATTAATCTTATAGGTAAAAGCATATTGCATCAGCTTTAGAGGCGATAATGTGTGTCAACATTGTTGGCAATAGTAGGTATTGAAATCTGTTGGCGTTGACATTGGCATTTAAATTTATTGGCTTAATAAGTGATGGTGCGCATGGACATTATTGGCGATGAAGTCAACTGGAGACTAGTAAGGCAATAATAGTCAGTTGACGATAGTCAGATGATACTGATTGGAAAACTGTATTTAAGTGATAATGTCCAGGAATCATAGTTGGGCAACAATATTTTAGAGATAATAATCAAACAACAGTGAGTGACAATGGTTGGGATATCACAATCGAGTTACAACAATCACAATACAACATATGAGCGAAAGTAGTCGGTTGACGATAGTCAAATGATACTGATTGGAAGACTATATTTAAGTGATAATGTCCAGGAATCATAGTCGGGCAACAATATTTTAGAGATAATAATCAAACAACGGTGAGTGACAATGGTTGGGATATCACAATCGAGTTACAACAATCACAATACAACATATGAGCGAAAGTAGTCCCAGATCATAGTCAACGATTGTGGTTAGAGAGATTGTAATTGGCAATAGTCAGACGATAATGGTTGGGAGACTATAGTGGTATGATGTTCTTGGAAGATGATATCCAGATGACAATGGTATGTATATATGTCGACCTCACTTTTGGTTGAGGTTTAGTTTTCCCTTTTTAGTTGCTTGAGGTCTAGCCATAGGACTTTCCTGTTAACTATTCTTTGAAAACTAGAAAAGGAACCCTCACTATTAGAAATTCTAAACTCCT